TCGTTTTCCTACTCAGGGAACCATGGTTACATAAGTAACCTGAGACGTTTTTGCGTAGTCAAACTACAGTCCATCTAACATGACAAGTGTGCAATCAAACACTTAATACATTAAATACACATCAAGCCTTCACCTCTTTTCAGAGCTCTTCAGAGCAGAACGCAGGGCCAATTGTTGTGCAATCAACAATACATGCTGGGTGAAGCCAAGCTACAGTTGTGTTATGTAGTTCTGTTAGTCCGACTGTGCAAAAATATGTTTTTGATTAAGGATTTATAGCTTTAGTCCGACAGAAATCTAACTTTTAAAGTATATGTAAGCTTGAGACTGACTATGGTGGTCCGACTAACGCGACGGTAACACTTCACCTCAGACCCCATCCCGTAAGAGAGGAAATGAAGCACTGTTGCTCACCCAGCGTCTGATGAAACTCACCCGACACCGGGGTCATGGTGGTGGGTGGCAGGCTGTTGATATTGAGCGCCCCCATCTGGTGGATCTGGGTGGTGGGAAAGGCCATGCTGGGCGCCAGGTAGCCTCCGTGACTGGCAGCCATGAGGGCCGCCTGCTGCTGCATCAGCTGCCGGATAAAGATAGAGAAAAACAGAAAGCAGAGAGGGAGAAAGAGAGAGCGAAAAGTTACTAGAAGCACACAGGCTACATGGGGGCATGATGGATAGGCAGTGCTTTGCAGAGTAGAGGAGAAAATAGAGTGGAAAAAGAGAAAAATGTGTCAACCTATGTTTAGTGAAAGCGTCCATCTTCCCAGTCAGAGGGCTGTCGCAAGCCGCCTCGAAACATTTCAATAGCTGTCGGTCTGGCTCATTCTAATGGCGGGATCGACGCACATATTAGTGTAGTCTTAAGGGAGCTGGGAGTTCGGAGGAGTTGTATTCATTTTTTCCCTTTCAAACTTTAAGGTGATGCTTTCTTCATGGCCTTGACAGCGCAACTTATTTTCCCTCCCCCGTTTTCCTTTACGATGTGACAGCTATCAAGGCTGAATATATCATGGTTACATTGAAGCAGATCCAGCTTAGATCCAGATCATACCTCATGCATAAATGCCTGTTTACATGTATTGTACACGGTTTTTATAATAACGTCACTGAGCACCTGTAGACTTTTGGCAGAGTATTGAGTTTGTTGGGAATGAAAATAGCTAAAAAAAATCATATACATTTATATATAATATAAATTAATTGCAATAATACAAATTAAGTAAAAATTGTAGTTGACCACCTTTTTTCAAATCATTTTCTTGTTAAATATACATATACGTCAGAAATACATCGCATTACAGAAGTAAAATGGGTCGCGAATGCTGTTTCATAGGTCATATCCGTTATTTATTAAAAATTTTTTTTTGGACATTGGAAAAGTGTTTGTGTATCTTGTCTTTTCTAAAAAATAAAATAAAATAATTTTAGCTGGCCTGTCTACCTTTTCTTCTAATAACTTCACCGTGCAGCTGTAGACTTTTGTCAGAGCAGATGCGAATGCAATGCAATGCTTTAAAAAAACATGGTCGACATCAAACTATTCCCATCCAGTTAAACAATAATGCAACTATTCAAACAGCATTCCTGTACATCACAGCATACAGTCCCCATAGAGGAAATAAGGCCAAAAGTAATATGCTACTTCATACAATAATCATCCAGCTGCCACTCTTCATTTGAATGCAGAGGATGATATTGTTCATGTAGGCTTTGCTCTCCGCCACTGTTTCATCTCTGGATAGTAGAAAGGCAATCATATTCTCTCATTGGCCTTGTCACTGAGCCTGAAAGATGCCGTCCACCCACAAAACAAATCTATAAGCCTTGCCTGCATTACTATCTATAAACTCCTCCTTTCATTTGCATAATTCCATCAACAAACCACTGAGGATCATCTATTATCCTTCAGGTAAAATCCACAGTTTTGGGGAAACAAGGAGCATAAATAAGTTAAATGAATATAAATAAAATCTCAGCACAAATATGCTGAGTAAATACAATGGGAACATTTCAAGAGAAACATTTAATTCAGAGAATCTACCTTTAACAGAAGTGTATTTTGTCAAATTTTTTCACGTATAGCTTAATTGTTACTTGGGTGAGTTTGCAAGAATTTCGAAAACTTAAAAATGGGTCACGGACCACCGGTTTAATGCATTTGTCAACCTTCAGACAAGGGTGGGACGAGACAGTCTAGTCTCTCTCCGCCATGTAATAGCCATGCCACAGTAATCAGACACTTTTGTGCCCATCTCACGGCCTCTTCCTTCGTGCTGAATGGGGCGTCAGAGTTAAGCTGGCTGGCTCTCGCCGGGTGACAGTTTGCTAATGCCCTTTAAAAGCCAGAGGGACAGGCTTTGGGCAGAGCATAGTGCGGTGAGTTGAAGACTTCCATATTGTAATTTCCCTCCATGAATGGCTCGGATAATGTCGCCTTTCATGGCTGCCACCAGATTGCCTCAGATAACGATGTGGCATTCAGTTCTGCTCTTTAGGAATTAAAACAGAAAATTGGAGGCCCAAGCATGTAATTATGTTGGGGAGAAGTGAGCAACATCAATTTGTTCTTGGAGGAGGTGGAGGGGAAAGAAGGAGGGAAAAAAAGAATAGAAAAACAAGGTCCTTTGGCTGTCGGAAAGAAAACGAGACTATAAAAAAAAACATCTCATGTTTCTCTGTTATTCTTATTCAAAGACATGGTTCAGCCAAAAACGAATCTTTTACTCTCCTATTTGTCTTTTCAAATATGTATGACTTTATTTCTTGCTTAGAATATAAAAGGACAAGTTTAGCGGAATGTCCAAGCTGCTCTTTTCCATCCCATGAAAGGGAATGGTGCCCAAGATTTTCAGTGTTTAAATTGATTTAAAAAAAAAAAAAAAATGTATTTACTGTCATAAAAGTAACATATAACTTCCAAAGACTTGGAATAAAGAGCAAGAGTTGTATGGCCCACTTTTATGGCCATTTTTTGTAGTCTTAAGACCTGACAGTTATGGTCACTACGAGCTACTAGGATGAGCTGTGTAAAAAATATTTTGTCAAATTTGGATTTGAAACCACAAATGTGTGAGTAAATAATGTTATTTACTCACACATTTGTGGTTCCAAACCCAAATCGCTTGTGTAGAATATAAAAGGGGAAATTCTGCGGAATGTTCAAGCCGCTCTTTTCCATACAATAAAAGTGAATGGTGACCAAGATTTTCAGTGTTTTAAATGACTTTTTTTTTTTTTTTTTTACTTTACTGACATAAAAGTATCATATGACTTCCAAATACTTGGAATATAGAGCTAGAGTTGTATGGTTCACTTTTATGTTGATTTTATAGCAATTTTGTGTAGTTTTTATGGTTTGACAGGTGTGGTCACTACAAGCTACTGGGATGAGCTTCGTAAAAAATCTCCAACAGATAAATAAATAAATAACATGAATAATAATAATAAAAAAACAGTTTAGCCAAATATTATAATTTTGTTATTATTTACTCACGCATTTGTGGTTCCAAACCCAAACCCCTTGCATAGAATATAAAAGGAGAAATTTAGTGGAATGTCCAAGCCGCTCTTTTCCATTAAATAAAAGTGAACGGTGACCAAGATTTTTATTGTTTAAATTGAATAACATTTTTACAATTTATTGACATCAAAGTGTCATTCAACTTCTGAAGACTTTGTCTATAGGGCAAGAGTTGTATGACCTACTTTTATGGTGATATTATAGCATAGTTTTGCATAGACTTGACATCTGTAGTCACAGACGAATTAGTAGGAAGAGCTGCATAAAAAACTTTAATAAAACAATTCAGCCAAAAATGAGCATTTTCTCTTTAATTACTCACCCATTTGCCATTCCAAACCTTATTATTTTATTTTTTTTTTTTCTGTGTAGAATATAAAAGGATATGTTTAGTGGAATGTCCAAGCTGCTCTTTCAGTGTTTAAACTGATAATTTAAAATTTATCATACGACTTCTGACTTGTGACATAGCGCAAGACGTGTATGACTTGTGATTTTAAGTGATTTTTAGATGTTTTTATGTAGTTTTAAGATCCGACATGAGGTATTGAGGAAACACTGAAGTATTGCGTAAAAAATAATAAAAAAAATTGCAGGTTTGGAATGACATGAGAGTGAAATAATAATTATAAATAATTACAAAATTACAAATAATTACAACTATTAAACCGGGTGAACTATCCCTGAACATTTCTAAACCAAAACTTTACCCAGCATCTTGAACAGACAGGAAGCATTCAAGCGCAGGCAAAAGGGACCAAATTGCCTTCAGCGAAGTCTTCATCACTGAGGTCGTAACCTTTTCTTCCTTCAAAATGGGAAAAAAAACAGAAGCGGCCACGGGAAGAAGTTGCCTGGGCGACGGCATTCGTTTAGTGTCAGGCATGTGGGTTTTTTTATGGCTTGCCTATGGCATTAGTCTCCCTCGGTGCCACCAGGCAATCACCTCTTTATCACTTGGCAATTATCTACCCAGAGCTGCTCTGTGTCTCTGCCCACCTCTGCCTGCATCACACATGACCCCTTACAGTCGGTCTGGCCCTGCTGCAGCGCAGAGAGAATGGCAGGATGACTGGAGAGATATTTATAGAGAGACGAGAAATGGAGTGAGCTGAATGTGAAGACCCCGGTTATTAAGGTCCCTGGCCCTGTAAGATTGCCTGAAACGGCCTCGTTCCTTTTTCTGCTGTTTGCTAAAGCACATCTTCAGGACTAAACATGGTGATGGTGCAAACACAGTTTTGGTTCTACCAGAACTTGTTTTAGGTCCTAAACATATGCAAGTATGTAAGCCCAGATATTAATGCTTGGGACTAATTCACATCCTTATGTAGTATTCTGTCTTGTTTTCCAGAAAATCATCCAAACAATATAGCATAATATGCTGTATATAATCAGTTCCAATATAATCTACACAACCATTCAAAGGTTTGTAATAATTAAGAAGTTTCTGAGAGTCTCTTATGCTCACCAGGCTGCATTTATTTGATCAAAATACATTTAAACAGTAATATTTTGAAACGTTGTTACTATTCCAAAGTACTGTTGTCTATTGAAATATACTGATTTGGTGCGCAAGAAATATTTATTATTATTATTATTAATGTTAAAAACAGTTTTTGCTACCTAATATTTTTGTGTAAAACTTGATACACTGTGAATCGCTATCTTTAAAACCAGATAAATTTAAGAAGCAAAAATCTTATTTGTAATGTAGGTCCCTTTTTTAAGATTATATATTTCTACTGGGAAAAAACACAAACATCGCAGTATGGAGACAATAAATCTCAGTAAGCAAGGAAGTGACAGAGTTACCTTCTATCAGTGCCGATCCTAGACTTCTGGGGGCCCTACGAAAAACTGTCTCGGTGGGGGTTGTAGTATGAGTGGTTATGAACGAATGAATGAAATGCATTTGTCTGTTTCACTCCGTCTTGAACCGTGCTCGCGTAAAGCGCTTGAGAAACAGTGTCACTTCCGCGCCTCGGTACGCTTTCAACTCATTTTTTTAGTCTCGAGCAAGACTGTATGACATTCACGTTACATGATTTGACTGATTTTTACGTAGAAAGGGTGACAGCGCACCTCATTAAAAGAAATGTTCATTCATGTTTTCATAACCGCTGGCCAAATTAAAAAATGAAACTAAAATTAAATCATCTTTGAGAGCAAGGGGGCCCCCTGGTGTTTCGGGGCCCTACGCAGCTTGTGTATTTTGCATATAGGGAGGATCGGCTCTGCCTTCTATAAAACCAGATTTACTTTTATCCAGGAGCTAACTATAAACATGTCGACTGTTTAACTAATTTAAATGACCTCACTCAGGATGCGATACATCAATTTAAAAAGTGTGCATCGGATACAAGTTGACATTTGTATCGCGATGCATAATTTCTAACATATTTGCATTGGTAAAAACCTATTTATTTATATATGATAATTAGTAGATGCGCTATACTTTTATTATTTAGAAAGTGACCAATAATTTGTGACCAATATTTTATATGTAGATTGATTTAATCTCTCTAAACTGTTTCTCATGCGCATTCTCTCATCGCCACTGCTGCTACGTGAATATGACATATCACAACAGTACGTCAGAAGGCACTTAAGTTAATTTATTTATGATTTGCTGTCTGGCTGAACCAAAGAAATAAAAGTGAACTATCTGTACCATATTGAATTGCATATCATCATATTTTTTTCCATTGCATTATATTGCATTGAATTGCATTGTGTTAAATCGAATCAATCGGTAGCTGCTTCATATGTATCTTTAATGTATCGTATCGTTGGCTGTGCATGTGTATCGCATGGGCCTCAGTTATGTAGATGCACATTCCTACTACAATCTGTTGCTCCACTGTGAGAATACTTGACCTAAATAAGAAAAAATGTATGTAGACATAGTAATTTTACAGTAATGTGCACTATAGCGCCCCTTGTGGCAATGCTGAGAATGCAACATGCATTTGTATTGCCCTAAAAATTACATTTCACAATGCAACCAAAATCAAACTTGCATAGCTATAAGCATTTGCACTCACATACTTGTGTAAAATATGTTTTGGGTCTGAGTGTACTTCCATTTCAATATTTCTTTGCCATATATTTGCTCAAAGAGGGTTTATATGTACAGTATATAGTAGTCATATTTCTGCAAAGTATCCATTTATGACTAGAAAGACATTTTGAGTAAAACATACAACATTCTACTGAGGAACGAGGGGTGAGATTGTATACTTCTCTATAATACATCAATCATGTTGCCTATTTCTAGATGCTCCATAAGGAGTGCTTTCAAACAATGCATAAAAACTATAAAAAAATTCTCAACAACAGGGGGCAATGTAGGTCAATAGCAGAACATGCACCCCCCTCCCCAGCGCCCTCCTCCCAAAAATACCCAGACAAACATTCCCCTCATTAATGTTGGCTTCAGAACATTCTGAAGTGCTTTCAAGCAATTTGTGCGTCATATTAATCTAATGCACCGTCTCTGGTGATTGGCATCAAGTAAAATAGATCTTTCTGGCTTTCCATCAACATCCGCGCTTTTATTCATCTTCCAAAAAAAAGAGAGAAAAAAAAAAAACGTCGAAAATGAAGATGGCTCCACTCACAAAAAGGAAAAAGATCAAACACGAGGCAGCGGGAGAAAAAGACAGATAAAAGATATTCGGCTTGTATTGACAAGAGCGTCTGAAAGAAAATTAATGTTTCTTGCTTTCATCGCGTGTTTATGTCACACCCCCCATTCCACTCCAGAGACGAGGACGGGGCCGCATCGGATATTTCCAACATCTTCATGTACTATACTGAATGATAAGCTGTTTGTCAAATTTAGAAATCAGATGTACCTTTTAAAAAAAACGCATCTGTCTTTTGGCACGATGTTGTCAGCACTATTACCCCTCCAATTTGCGCTCAGATGCCCCCCTCCTCTGCTCTGACTAAAATCAAATTTACTGGCTGTCAGCTCAACCCAGTAATCCTCTGCACAGCTGTGTTTGTGGAAGGGGCCTCTTAATTTGCTCGTCCTCCACGTTTCTAAATGTAACATTGCCATATCTGAAGCTAAATGTTAGCTTATGTGGTTTGTTGCTTGTTTATGAAGGCGCAATGAATGCCTGTTGGAGACCCTTTCAGGTTCTATTCAGGTGAGGAAATGAGTGAACAGAAGAGCGTAGAAAATGCTAGTGGAGCTAACTTGCTATGCTAGTTCATTGCTATGTGGTAGCTATGCTGTTATAGGTGTTTGCTGGATGTTTAGCCCAAGTCGAAGAGCCACCAAAAAAAAAAAAAAAACCTTGTCTATGATATTTTTGTCATGTTTTTTTCCAAACCAGTTGAGCACAAATCCCGCCCCACAGGCGAAAAAGACTTAATGGATTAAATTTAGAGTTCAGAAATATCATAGATCGATCCAATCGTGACAAATAGTAATGCTAACTATCTGCCAATGCTACACTAACATAACGGTTGTGTGTTAGGGTTACGGTTTAGCATTTATTTCAGTACAGGCAATGTGCATTGTGATTGACATGACCAATAATACCTTTATAATCAGCTGGGAGGTGGGGTTTGCACTAAAATAGTTTCAGAAGAAAAAATTGCGCGATACAGTTGCTTTCATAAATGCACCGTATATTTAGCTACCAGATGAAAATGATAAAGCAATTGCTTTGAAAAGTCAAATCTTCTCAAAACTTCTACTGAACAAGCTGCGTAATTTGAGGTTATCATTTTTTAAATGACATGCTAGCATTTAGCACTCAGCATTAGTCATTTGTTGAGAGTAAATTTATACAACCTAGCAGAAAATCGTGTATTGGGGGAAAAGATACTCAGAGTATTTTTAAAAGCCCCAATCAGTATTTATTTTTTTTTTCTGGTTATGTAGACAATGTCATCCCTGACTTATAGTGACACCTAGTGGTGTGGAAGCATTACATAAAAATCAAAAGTTGCAACTGTAAAAATGTAGTTTTCAGTGTTTCTATTGTTAACTAAAACTATTACAAATTTTACTATTAAATATTTTTTGTAATTGAATTAAAGGGGAAATAAAATCTAAATATTTAGATGAAAAATTTAAAAAATGTAACTAAAAATAAGTTGATGTTGAAGTACTACAACTGCAAAAACTTAAAGCTAGAAATAAAAATAAACTAATAAAAATGCCAAAATCACTAAAACAAGAAATTAAAATGAAATCTGTACTGATTAAATGATTAAAATGAAAGCTAATTCAAAATATTAATAAATACTCTAATAGTACACAATAATACACTGGTACTCGCAGGCATGATTAATTTATTCCACAATCAATAGTGTTCAATAATAATCACATTTAGGGTTGGATTAATATGGCAGCTCTCATGTGGTGACTCATTAGGCTACTAATATGACTGGAATCATCATCTCATGTGATGCACTGATAACATTTAAAAAAAAGTTATATTATTTTTTTCACATTTAAAACTTGTAAATGAGATAAAAAAAAAAAAATGTTCTGTGTATCTGGTTTAAAATAACAATATCCTTGATTATTTTACTCAAAAACAGCAAGCAAAAAAGATACCTAATAAAAAACTTCGCCACAAGCTGCATGCGATATCATAAAGCAGTTGGTTTCGACATGTGTGGGTTGTGGCTCGGGCTGGAACAGTGAATTATAGAGACTGTGTCATTGCCACCGAGTGGCACACTGCACCATCTCTGACACGGGAGATAAAAGTCACTGCCAACCTGTGGGAGCCACAGCAACCACCCTGCCTGCCTTCCTGCACGCCACTCTCTCAGACCATTTGCATTTCCTGCGGACGCTCCGCATCTCATGAATGCTAATGAGGGCGTATTTGTTCCCGCGTACTGGCCCGGCAGTTACTGTGGGATTGTCCATACGCACATCTTCTGCTGGCCCACGCATGTCTGTGATATGAAAATGAGTGTGAATGATAAGCCCCCGGGGGCCGGGTCGACTCCAACAATTAATCCTGGCATTTACGAGAAAATTTCGCCTATGCCTATCAGTACATGAATATATGTATATCTATCTACTCCATATGGAGGAACTAACTACAAACTAACTGTTTTATAGTATCTCTCCCCAAAACTGAACCGAGATGTCCCTCATGAATGAATATTAGGGACTGACTCAACCTCCCCCGTTCCGAAGCAACCGATGCGAGCTATAAATAACCAGGTGAAGATTTTCCTATGGAATATTCTGAGTCACTCTGGGAACGTGAGCGAGGACGTGTGGGCATGCAGGGATGGGGAGGGTACGTGGGCGGCAGTGAGATCATCAAAACGTGCCCAAGTGCCCCAGAGGGGAGGAAGGGTACTCACCGCGTGTGCGTAGGTGCTGTAGGTGCTGAAGGGCAGGGCGATAGCAGGGTTGAAGATGCCAAACTGGCCCACCATCTGCTGCATGCGGCGGATGGTGCGCTCCTTGTCCGTGTCGGCAAACTTGACCACCAGGCTGGACGACGCACCCTGAGGGAGGAGAGAATCGGAGCCAGTCTGAGGAGAGAGGGCAGGCTGCGTTTAACCTCCCGCTTTGTAAGCGAGACCGTCGACCACCACAGGAAACACAACTCAACATGTACATGATTTAAGATGTGGTCACATTAGTGATATTTCGGGGGAAAAAAAAAAAATTGGTAAATGTGACCACGCCATTACAGTGACACTATATAATTCAATGAAATTTTAGAGCATGTTAACATGTTAAGAAAAAGAACTGAATGGATTTAAAGAAATAGTTCACTGAAAAACAACAATTCTGTCATCATTTAAATCCTGGAATGTTAACTATAATGATAACTATAACTATAAATGTATTAGCGTCCACACAACTGACAAGAATGTTCTGTTCATTGTAAGTGTGCGCTGCTGTCATCTCAAAAGAAGCCGGGTGGATTCTGATTGTCAATGTTTTTATTATTCATCAGCTGGAAAGAATCGTTCTTAAAATTATTTGAACAATATCATTTCTTTGTGACATTATCGCTATAGTGTATTGCTTATTGTATAGTAGTATTGTGGTGTGGATATTGCTATTCTCATAGAATTAGATAGATTATTAAAACTTTATAGTTATAGTCATCGTATTTGGTGTAAACAGCCCTTTACTCATTGTCATGAACTTTCAAACCTGTATGACTCCATGGAACACAAATGAATATCCTATAAATAAGAACCATCCAAAAAGAACCTTGTCCATACAACTTGCATGCTATATTTGAAGTTTTTTTTTTGAAGCCATATAATAGCTTTTTGTAAGGAATAGACCAAAAATGTATTATTCACTTAAAATTGACAAAAAAAAATCATTATCACACTTGACACTCGCTATAACTCTACCAAGCATGTTGACAAGAGTAGAGTTGCTTGAACAAGTCATTCCTCTGTGAATGATTCATTCTTTTGACTTGGATCTTTTCATGGAATGCAGTTCACAAAACCAGCCTTAATGATTCATTTATAAATTGGACTTATCCAATTCTTCTAAAAGTTCAATTCACTGATTCAGTGATCTGGTTGCAGCTCATTGGAGATTGATTTCTATATATTTTCACCAAATAATGACTTTTGGACTGTCAAATCACATTATATCTATCATGTAACTTGGAATATGAGTCGTATGAATTACCTTTATGATGCTTTTGTGGACTTTTTTAAGCTCCAGTCCCCATCCACTTTCATTATATCCAAAAGAGCATTTTGGACACCCGTTAATTGTGTTTAACAGAAGAAAGTATGTCACTCAGGGTTGGAATACATTGGGAGTGAATAAAATGATGACTGAATTTTTATTTTGGGGTGAATTGCCCCTTTAAGAATGATCAAAACCTTAAGTTCTTATGTGAATCTACCATGACTTTTTCACTTCAACTTTGCACCAAACACAAGGTGGCTGGATGCATTTTAAAAATAACATTTCTGTTTTTCCCCAAGAAAAAACTAACAACAACATCATGATTCTGGATTACTGTCTAACAAACTCTCAACATCAAACCTCAGGCAAACAAACAAATACATCTACAAAACTGTTAGCGGCATCAGTAGATTGACATGAGCCTTGGCAGCTTGACCGTTACATAACAAAATTTCAGATTTCGTTACTTGATAGGTTATGATGTCGCACCTGAAATATCAAACAGATTAGATGAAGAATGTGGGTGTGTTTTGAGATTGACAAGGCCACCAATGATCATGGTCTGACCTTGGATGTGTGGGTTTCTAAGTCTGGCTCACTCATTCTCTCCCGTACCGTGGTAATGAAACGCGAGATCCGTGCTCACATTCACTATGAATCTCTCAATGATTTGATGCTACACTTGACCTTTATCAGCCTACAACATCCCCTGTTCCAGCACTATACTGTCCGAATAAAATAAAAAAACTACAAAATCGATTTTGGCAAAAAGGCCGAAATATGACTGTGATCTGATGGTAGAGAAAAGTTGTGCATCAGCCAAGATAAGAGGCTAGCTGAAATTGACGTGAAAATGTCGATTAGCAGCCACAATATGGGGGAATATCAAGTGAGGCCACAAATGTATTTGTGGTTAGGTCCTCAAATGGTGGGTCGTGTCCCAAAAATGGGTTGCAGGTCTACATCTAGGCAGGGGAAAAAACAATGTTAAATGGCAACATAAAAAAGCAACTAATCATATAATTGTCCATAATTTGGTCAGAACACAATGTGCTTTGTGCAGTGAATTATTTACTTCATATGGCATTTATTCACTGAACATATACAATTAAACCCATTATAAGGTTTGATTATCAGGACATTTTTATTTAAAATTATTGATTGATTTATTTTTAATCAGTGAATTAACAATGTGCTTTGTGCAGTGAATTATTTACTTCTTAAGGCATTTATTCACTGAACATATACAAATAAACCCATTATAAGGTTTGATTATCAGGACATTTTTATTTAAAATTATTTATTTATTTATTTTTAATTAATGAATTAATGACTGAACAGTCAGTGTGGTTCAAAAATGTAAAAAAATGCACATATTTTTAAAGAAAAAAATTAACTTAATTGCGGAATGAAGTTGAAGGAAATTGGGTCAAAAGAAATCCCATGCCTCCCATGAAGTTTATTTATATATTATGATAGTATTTATAACTTTTTTTTTTTTTTTTGATTTTTAGTTTTCATTTTAATTTAAATTTAATTTAAATTTCTAGTAAGTTTATTGTGCTTTCGTCATTTAGATTAATTGTTACACATATATGTATGTATGTGTATATATATATATATATATATATATATATATACTGTTTATATACTGTGTGTATATATGTGTATATATGTAAATACACACAGTATGTATATATATATATATATATATATATATACTGTGTGTATATATGTATATATATATATATATATATATACATACTGTGTGTATTTACATAGCTGCATAACTTTCTACTGTATACTGTAAGTGTACTGATACATCATTTTCAAATACTTTTTGCTTTAAATCAAATGTTCTAGTTTAAATAAGAACTGGCTGATTAAAAATCTTTTTTATCAAAGAACTTTTCAAAAAGCATGTAGTGAATAGGAAAAAAAAAAAACACTGGAAATCTGGAACCAAGGCTGCTGAATAAAAAAAGGGTGGTAACTGTTGTTCTCTGTATTGTTGTCGGAATGCTTAGCAAGGGCCAAGTACAAAGCAATCAGTTTGCACATACAAACTCGACAACTCTGGCTCTAGGCATACGGCACTCACGTAGGCGTTTGAAGGAGTTGCCAGAAAAGCGACGAAAGACAGTCACTGGGGAAGAGACATATACAAATAAACCCATTATAAGGTTTGATTATCAGGACATTTTTATTTAAAATTATTTATTTATTTATTTTTAATTAATGAATTAATGACTGAACAGTCAGTGTGGTTCAAAAATGTAAAAAAATGCACATATTTTTAAAGAAAAAAATTAACTTAATTGCGGAATGAAGTTGAAGGAAATTGGGTCAAAAGAAATCCCATGCCTCCCATGAAGTTTATTTATATATTATGATAGTATTTATAACTTTTTTTTTTTTTTTTGATTTTTAGTTTTCATTTTAATTTAAATTTAATTTAAATTTCTAGTAAGTTTATTGTGCTTTCGTCATTTAGATTAATTGTTACACATATATGTATGTATGTGTATATATATATATATATATATATATATATACT